GAGCCCCGGGTCGGGGCCGAGCCACGGGTCGGGACCGAGCCCCGGTCGGGACCGAGCCCATCGCAGCCCAGTGGCTTCCTTCCGATCTTCACCTGTACCTCGACTTTCGGTTTCCATTGCATAACATATTCAATAAAGAGTAATCTTGTGGTAGGGTTGAGTACATTAGACATCTTCTTAATTCCCCCATCTTCTCTTGGTTCATTTTCTCCATTCTCAACTGCCACCTTTATTCACTTATCTCCCGCAACCATAGATGAAGCAGCGCAACGGCACAAGTGGCAGATCTACTCCCACGACCATAGATAACCTATCTCCGGTGAGCCCCACGTGCAGCGTAGTGACCCATGAACTAGATCGACGATCAATAGTGGAACCACGACGACACGAGTGGCGGCGCAACTATAGCAACATTATGATGTGCAACAACCCATTCAAATCCGATTGGCGGATGGCGACCCATGTGCATATTTGACCAGCAGACGACGACCCACATTCATATCGAGCGGTTGAAGGCGATCCATGTGCTGATCCGCTCCAACGACTCGAGCGACAACGTCTTCTTCACGACCAGCGCACCGAATCTATAGAACAACACACACCGACAACCACAAACCACTAGATGAAGTTTTGTTCCGTCCAGATCTACAACATGGCATGACCCCACAATGAACCTCGACCCACAAACACTTGAAGCCCGAACCAGATCTATAGCATTCTGCCTACGAACCTCGACCTTCACGACCACGAGCACAAACGGATCTGAACAAATGGCAGCCACAAGCAGATTCGTACAATTTTAAACATGAACATGCAGCAAAATCGGAATTTTTGGGTAAAAATGCTAATATTTTTTTTCATCTAATTACTCTCAAATTGCTTTCAAATTGTTGATATAAAAGGAGAAATTTAGAGGAAGAAAATTGTTGTGTCGTGGATGAAGTCACTGCCTTGAAAGCAATTTCGACACAACCACGGTGCTATATCGTATTTTCGTTGGTTGCTCCCTGAGGTTAATACAACTTTAAACTCAGGCGTGGACTCCTGGAGCCGAATGGAATCGAAGAATAGGCTCATAAATTTTGTCAAAAGTTTTGGATCTTCCATATGCAGAAAAAACTCGATTTTGTTTAAAAAGGAAAAAAGTATAAACCTTTTAATATTATTGTTTCTTAATATTTTTTTAATACAACAATTTCGGGATATGGAAGATCAAATAATCTCCGATCTCGATGGAAGGAATACATGCCAATTGCCGTTGAGCTATGCTCATATTGGCGTTTTTTCCCAACATCGTAACTATTTTTTGTCTTCCTATTAATTACAGGTTGATATTCTATAGTTCACGGTAATATGTATGATAATACTTCATTAATCAAGTAAGCTTGTGGTATCCATATTTTCTAAACTGTACTATACATTATCATCTCTATGTCCTAATCGTGCAAAAAAAAAAAAAATTAGGAAAAATGTATTTATTTCCTTGTATTTTAAATAGTATCGACAACTTCGATATTTAAAGTGACAATTTAGGTTCACCCGTTTCCTCCTTTGATGCCTTACTCAATGACATCAAATTTATGAGGTATTTATTTTCCTCCAATTGAGGGGAAGTTTAGGTAATTGTAAGTAGGAATATTGATAGAAAGTTGATATCAATAAATAGGTTACAGATTGATAGAAAGTTGAACAATTGGACAAACCTTCCATTATTGGGGGAGATTAACTTTGCGTCAATTGGTTCTAGCTAATCTTCCTATCTATTTTGTGTCCATCTTCTCCTTGATACTCTTGGAAAGGAAAGTGAGAAACTTTACGTGAAGAGGAAATGTGTCAAGGAAATGTGTCAGGAAAGTTAAGTCATTTGTCAAATTTCACGAATAAAAAATGTCTAGGGTTTATTTTGAAATTTGAAGGATAAAATTGACCTTTGCTCCAAATCTCGTTGCACAAAAAGTATATTTTACCTAAAAGCTAAAGTCTAATTTGATAAAATTGAAAGTTTAAGTTTGGAAAAAATTATTTTTATTTTTCCAAAAGGAAAAATACGTCTCTAAGCACCCTTTTTTTTTTTTTGAAAAATCTCTAAGCACCTTAAATGAAGTGCAATTCTCGCTTTCTGGCGTGTATAATTTAATTTTTGAGAAATTCTCACGTGTAAATTAATTTTTATCAAAGAAACAAATAATAGTAAACTTTTCGGTCTGTTTTTTAAATAAAAAAAGAACTTCATGGGGCTTATTCCAAATTACCACAAGAACAAGGATGGGAATGCAATCCCTAACCAATAAAAAAAGAAATCCCGAAATATGATCCTTCAAGATTCTGGCGTCTAAGTTAATTAACCCTAATCTATGATGATCCTTCAAGATTCTGGCTTGTAAGTTAATTAACCCTAATCTATGATCCTTCATAAGCAGCTTCGGCTTCTTCTTCAAACCCTAACCAATGATCCTTCAAGTTTTACGGAAGGGATATTCTTTCTTTTTCCTAAATTTTCTTCTTCGTTTTGCAAATTTTTTGCCCTAGAATTTGTGAGTGTAAGCACATATCGAGGCGCTCTAGGTTTTTTTTTTTTTGCAGTGCCTGCGGAGCCCATTTTTGTGCGATAGAATTTAGTCATCTCTCTCTCTCTCTTAGGTTTAGGACATCCTCTTGAGTTTAGACTTGTTCCGAGACTGATCTGATTCAGAGTTTCGGCCTCTAGAGGATTTGGGAGTAGATGGCGAACATTTTCTTACTTAATTTTTCACTTTTCCTTGTTGGGATTTTTCTGATTTTCAATTCTTTATTTAGGGGGAGATATGTGTATGGAGATTCCCGAAATTGTTTCTGTTGTTTTAAGTTCTTTTATTTTATGTTTTCTTGATTCTCATTGTAATTTGATTGCATTTACTTCTTGATAGTTTCATAAGGCTGCATATTATTTTCGCTTTTAGTTTTTATTTTTCTTAGTCTCTTTAGAATTTCATAGAGCACAATGTGAAGTTTAGGAGCAGCAGAGTGAGATGTTTGTTTGATAAAAAAGGCATGTAAGTATCCAAGTTTCCGATGCCATGGATTTTACTAATCTCACTTTGAAAAGATTAGAAGGGAAGAACGTGCAATCTTGTTTGAAAGTATAATCTTGTTAATATCAATTCTATCTATGACTTCTTTTGTCCATTAATCTATTTATTTCATCTCGATAGAAGAAATTCAAATGGTCCTTCTTCAGCATATATTTTGTACTCAATAAAACATTTTTTTCTTATACCTAAGGTGCACTTTTCTGGTCATTAATGTTGGGTATATTATACTGATAGATTCAAGGAGCTACTGATAATGGTTGACACTTGCCAAGTTGCAACACTCTTCAATCAGGTTTGCAATGACTTCTTAGTCTCCCAGTTCTATTAATCAATAAAGTGGCATTTGACTTGAAAAATAGGTTTATACAAGCTAAGATTAAATAGTTGAATCATGTTTGGTACGTAAGTTTGCCTATTCTGGACTATGTATTCTGCTAATGTTATAGGCTACCTTGATCCATACTAGGGAAACCTAGATAAATGAAATGTATTTCTAATGTTTACTAATTTTCAACAATTAAAATCCTACAAACCAAATATAGGTTGCAAAGCTTCTCAAACTCAGAGTTCTCTATAATGGAAATGTAAGCTACACAAATCTAAGTTTCCAACTTTAGGTTAATGTATTTAAAGGCTCAAATCTTTAGGTTAATGTTTTAGCATTGAGATCTGTGCCTCCTTTAGACCATAAGAAACTTACACCTCCCTAGAAATGCAGTAGGTGGCTATTTGTTACTTTAAGTTTCAAAATTGTCCATTTTATTATGCTAATTTGTTGAAATATATTAATTTAATAAAAAAAAATTTAGATTGGACCTTTCAATTTTTGGCATCTTCTTCTTCCTTCCCTCTTCTAGTGAGGCTTATCATCAGCTGCTGGCCACCATCTCCTTTGTTCCCTGCCATCATTTCCACTCCGCCAACCTCTGACAATGAGCTTCCCTGGCCTTTTCAACGAAAGGGAATGAAGGAGGGGCTCTCCTTTACTCCTTTCTTCTAGATCTAGAAGGAAGGAGGGAGTGGAGATGACGGTGACATTGGGTTGCGATGGATATGGCAGTTGGCGGTTGGAGGTAGATGGTGAGTTTCATTAGAAGAATGGAGGAGGGAGGTGGTGCCGGAATGGAAGAGAGAAGTCCAGTCATTAAGAAGTTGTTAAATTAATATACTTTACCAAATTAGTAAAAGTACAATAGTTTGAGTTTGTCAATTAGTCAAACTAATGGGACAAAGTTTTACAATTTGTATAACTTAATCTTAAAATAGGAAAAGTCTTGAACCGCCTTCAGCCTTTTAAAACGTTGATTTAGTTAGGTTACACAAACTCAAAGTTTTCAAATTCATAAACTAGACTTCTTTTTAATTTTTTTTTTGTTTTAATTTTTAATTTTTAATTTTTTTGAAGAGTGGTTAAGGACCCTTATATTGTTTGAGTTTCTCGGCCAAGATTGCTGTTTGATTTGATAGTAATTCATGGCCAACCCCCATGAGTTTCTCATAATATTTGACTGGTATTGAGACATGTAGAGAAGCCAAAATAGGAACATTTTATAGTAAATTGCTAGTTTTACTTCCAAGTTTGCTTCTGTGACCTATTATCTTCAATTTATATTTTCTTCGTTGTAGCATAAAGCTTTCTGTGAATGAGTAGAATTGGAGCATTCATAAGGAAAAATTTTAATGTCATAGTATGGTTCATAAATTGGATCGAGGAAACCATTCAAAACATTTTGGAACTTAACCATTTTCAGAACTGAACTTATTTCAGTGGAACTTAAGTAATTCCTTTGCCCCAAAAAAAAAAATCTGTAAGTTTCAGTGTAAATGTTTTTCTTTTCTTTTTTAAATCCTAAGCACAAACTTTTTTCTTCTCAAGTATCAAATGTTGCCTTGTTATTCTTTTCTTATATCAATATTTAATATGTTGAATACACATGTGAACTGATTGGAATAAAAAAATTGAATCACTTTAGATTCTCTCTTATTTCCTCTTGTTGGCCAATTCTATTTGGTCTAAAAAACCAATGATATCCAAAGATTTAGTTAAATAAATTTTCAGAGAATTGAATAGGAGTTTAAAAAAGTGAGTACCTGAATTTGGTGAAAACAGCATATTCTAGATTTTTTTTCTTCACACTCAAATTTAGATAGTTTATTTATGATGAAATTGTATTTATATACTTTTGGAATAATTGTGATCGATTTTTATTTTAATCTTGTTTGTATAAAATAATATCTATGTCAACATGAGCATAGTTGAAGAGTAATTGGTTTTTCTGAGATTCAAACTCTCATTTGTTGTAAAAATAGTACTCTACGATTTTACAATATCAATCATGTAATCTATTTATTTCAATTTTCATCTCAATTAATAATTTTCACATCCTGCTTCTATCAGAAATGGCCATATTTTTCATTGGCCTTCATAAAAATTTGCAAACAAGTATTTATGTGTATTTAAGAAGAGATTATAAGCAACCTTGTTGTTGCAAATACATAATTTGAAGGTTGTTTTTGATCTATAATGGATTGTAGATTTGATTATGCTCAATCCCACATCTTATTAGGCAAATTGGTGTTCAATGCTTAGATGTGTATTTAAATTTAGTATATAATAATAGACGAGTTTTTTGTTTTTTTGAAATGGAGAGGATCTGGTTTAATCTACCTGCGTTGCCTCCCCCATTTTTCTGTGCTCTCTCCTTCTCTCATTTTTCTCTGCACTCTCCCTCTGTTCTCTCTCTCCACAAAGATGGTGGTCGCAAAAGGATTTGAATTTGGATTTGGAAACAATGTTGCCAAAATTGTGTGTTTATGTTCTATCTTCCGTGAATTGAAAAAAAATCTTGTTGTGACAAAGGGTTTTTTTTAGTATTGCTGTCACAAGGGTTAGTGTTTCTGTTCTATTTTCTATCAATTGAAAAAGATTTTTCTCTGACAAAGAGGGGCGGTTAAGAATAGTAATTTTGGGAATTTTTGAAAAAAGAGACGGAAATTTGAATCACGCAAACTTTGCTCCACCAAAGTTTTTGGGTTCTTTCCCAAAATTTGCTTTCCCCTTCTTGTCCTCCTTTCCCTCCCTCCCTCCCTGATCGACAAACCCTAATGCCGCAGTCATGGTCAAATATAAACAGAAGGCCAATTAGAAATGGCCCCGCGAGGTCCAACTTTCTGGGAGCGAGCAAACGCCGACGAGTTCGCCGATGCCCACGACACTGTATTGGCCAGTGACACCTCAGGCTCTAAGAGCTCTTCCCACTAAATGAACCTCTCAATCCAGAAGCCCTCCCCGATCTGACCGTTCTTTAGCCGTGCTTGTGCCATCTCTCAAAGTGGAACCCTTACCAAGGAATATGAAATTTATGAACAAGTTTACGAGAGAATATTATAAAATTTTGGAGAAGGATGTTTGAATAGAAGGAAAAATGGATTGAAATTCATTTGAAATTAAAATCAATTTTATCCCTTGGATCTCAGATGATTATAGATCGAAGGTTGAAATTTAATTGAATAAAAATAAAAATATAATATAATATATATAATCTTTTTTCCTTCTAACGGTTCCTCCAACAACTATTTCAAACTTTTTTTTTCTTTTTCTTTTTTCTTTCCTTTTTGTTCTTTCTCTAATGAAATTTCAAGCTAGCCACATGTCACCTTGTGGTTGGTTCACATCCACCACGTCATCCTCCATGGATATTTTTATTTTCAATTCAATTTGGCCATACTTCTTCGTTTGGTCTTCAAATTGGGTGATTCAAGATCTGTTGGCAATCGTTTTCTCAAGCTCTACACCATGTATACCTCGAAACGTCAATATCATCATTTAAATAAAGATCAATAAAATAAATTATATAATATGATTGAAGCTCATAGTAAATTTATGTTTTATAACAATAATTTAATGCACCGCGATTAAGGGTCAAAAAGCTAAAAATCTCATTTTTTATGATGACAAACCACTCAAGAAAAATACTATGTGATACATGTAGCACATTCAAATATGCATAAATTTAACTTTAGTAAAATTAATCTCAATTTCATTCCTTTTTTGTATTACCTCTCTCCCTTTTAGAATAAATAAAAAAGGAATAAGTAAGAGAAATAAACAAGAATTCACGAAACCTTACCCTTTTTTAACACTCACTAAATAAGGGACAAAAAGACATTTAGCACAAATTTTATAAAATTCCCTCTATCCTTCTAAAATAAACTAGCAAGAAAAACAAGAAGCATCACTTATAAGAAATAGAGAAATAATGTGCATAAGAGAGACATTTTTTAATCTAAATGACATAACTATTCAAGCGGAACATTAATGCAATCTTTTAACGATCCTTCTCGCTGATTTGGAGCTAGAATCCTGATTTAATGTCAAATTTTGTGAATATTTTTGTTGAGATAATTCAGTAGATCTAGAAGATTTGGAATTGGATATCGAATCCATTACAATACCTTGTTCAAAGGTCATGAGCTAGGGCCTTATTAGACATTTCTTTAAAAGAACATCTATTTTGAACTTGCAATATTTTAATAGGTTCGAGTTCATTTCAACGGGCCGAGCCTAAGTAGGTATTTTGACTTCCTTGAAATCCTCTAGATTGTGTTTCTTCCGTTCCCAAAAGGCAGTTAGGGCAATTGAGCATATGTCTGATTCAATCTTCTTTCGGAGCTCAGAATATTATATTCTTAATATCTGACTTTTCACATAAATTGACTGCAATATGGGCTGATATTTCAACTTGAAGAAACTCGATGTGTTTATGTTTCATTTGGATATTATTAATAGATCTAGATTGTATCAACTTCTTTCGGTGTTATTGGATAATAAAACTCGAAGGTAATCTTTTTTTCCAAACTTTGAGCATTTCATTCCTCCTTAGACAGTAGAAAAGGGATAGAATTGACACGCATGAGGCATATTGAACATGCATGAGTTGCAAGTGCCAGTGATGTGGGCCGTAAAGGCATGACCCTCCAAGTGAGAGTGCACCCATCACTGTCGCGCATGTAGCATGGATTGCACGAGGGTTGCAGTCCTTTAGAGAAGGCATGGCCGACATGTCTGCGCTTGATATATGGGCTTGGTAAGGCGGCCCTTCGAGCCACCCCTACGCCTCTTCTACTGCGCTGGCGACAGCAAACTTGGATGCATGGGCAAGCTGTAGCTCATATCTCATGCGATAAGCAGTAGAGCTTACCCTTATGCCAACCTGGAAAATAATAACAAACACATGAAGTGTTGGGTTTAGTGCCCTAAGCTCGTGAATTTATAATTTGTAACATCCTTTCACAAGGAACATAGAATAAGGTGAAAAATAACGAAGTCAAAGCTAGGTTGTATCATTTTTAGATCAAATAGAGCTTAAGAAAATTTGCACTCTACGTCTTTGATAGCGAAATCTCCAGGTACCTTTATGCGACTCATCTTTTCCCAGGTCTTCCTCCTCATTGTGTTCACCGCTCTAGGAGGAAAGGAGGTGGCATATTATGGTCTCGGGAAGTCAAGGGCGAGAAAAGACACATTCGATAAGGTGAATCTGCAAGGAGTACTGGACGACGCCTTGGTTGGAGGTGTGACAAATGGTAACGGTTGGCTAGGGGCAAGATGAGGCAGAAGTGAGGTTGCTAGCATGGTCTCTCCCTAGAGGGAGCCCGAATATAGCCACATTGGTGAGGAGGCGCCTTTTAGTGCTCTAGAGGGGTCGCCTTGCTCTACAGCCTGGGAAGCTGCTCGCTTCGCTACTTGAGCACGAAGGCGATCAACAACAAATGTGGAAGGCAGCATGACTTCATAGTCTATACCGATGAAAAAGCATGGA